CCCCCTCCGCCCACCCAAACCCCCAAAACACACCCAAACACACACAGTGTGAAGTACTCACGAGTCGGAAGAGTCTTAGGCTGCTCGCTGGTGTCCTGGTCAGACAGAGTGGTCACCTCTAGGGGCGTGGTCTGAACGATCCGCTGCTCCAGGGTATCCACATACTTGGTCAGGTTCGCCACGGCCCCGCCCACTCTCGTGATCTGGCGGGACATCTTGGTATAGTCCTTCTGGGTGCCGCTCAAATCCTCCAGCATCGACTCCATGTTGGAGGTCATGATCCTCAGAGCCGTTTTCGTCTCAGCCACGTCCCCGCTCAGACGCAGAAGCGCGTCTCTCATCCTCTGAGTCTCCGTTCCTTTCTTCTCGTTCAGTTTGGGAAGGAGGTAGACATCTTTGAATTCTTTGAGCTTGGCGTCGATCATTTTCTCCACGCTGGACATGTAGCGATGCACGCACTTACACCCACGGCGCTTTTTACGCGATTTCCGGACGGTTTTGGAGCTGTCTCTCTGTTGGTCAGCGGCTTCGGAAAACACGCATGCGCAGAGGGAGAGGAAGAGGAGGATTTCCACGAGTCTCCACACCCCCATCATGACGTCGTAAACACGGCTGTGTGTGTGTGTATGTGTGTGAGTGTGTGTGTGTGTGTATATGTGCGTGTATGTGTGGGCCAAGGTCAAGGTCAGAGACGGTGGGTGGGCGGGCGGGAGGCAGGTGAGATGACGTGTTGCAGAGTGCTCAGCTCTGCTCTACACGACAGAGTGACGTCACTGCCGGTGCTGATGACGTGTACACAGACGTGGTGAAAGTGACGTCACAGGGGTCAATGATGCGCTGTGATGACGTCAGATAACTGCAAAGTTGAGGAAAAATTAACAGAAAATTAATAGATGCAAAGACGAAAAAGGAAACTAAATCAAAAGAAGAGCCAAGACCATGAACCAAAGACCACTAAGAAAATGACCAAAAGGTATCAGAAAAGACCATTTGTGAAGCAGCGTGGTGAAATCAGGCACTCGTCAAAATAACGAAATCAGAGAATCCGACATTTTCATCCAGTTTGGACTTTTTTATCGAATTTTTATTTTTTGGTTTAACCTCTTTTATGTCCATATAAAAAAAGCATTTCCATGTGAATTTTACTGAAAAACATTGATTAAAGGCATAAAATACGTCATTTTTCAGTTTTGAAGGGCTCTTTACCAAACTTTGGCGCTAACTTCACCACTGAAACCAGGCAACCTCATTTCCTTCAATCGGAAATATTTTGACTTCTACTCAAGATAGATGGATATTTATTTCATCAGAAGCAAGGCAAAGGAAACAACTTTCGGGTGATACCAATAGCTCCAAATACCCAAAACTTGACAAGAGCCTGATTCCACCACGTCGTACCAAATTTGAACAGATAGACAGAGAGGGCGATAGAAGGAGAGAGACTTCAATGCACACACTCTGAAATGGGCTTCTGCGCGAATTCAAGCACCCCCCTCCCCACATACACACTCAGGCGCGCGTGCGCG